CAGGGAACCCAATGAACCAAATCGTTTTCCTTGGGTGTTTTCAGAAATACTATAGGAATGAGAGCTTAAAGACTTTGCATATAAAAACCAACGTTTTCACAGATTTTTTTTTTTTTTTAGTGTGATCTTGATGTTAACTTGTGATTTCCAGCCCTCGTATTCTAGAACGTAATGAATTTGGCAGAATATCCAAATAAGTTAGGGAAAAATAAATCTGCTTCAGGCCTAAGTTACTGGGTTGTTGGCTTTTTCACTTGGCTTGTGCACGAGCTGATACTATCCCATACTACAGTATAGTATCCTGTACTACAGTGTTTCTTGTTTTAGAGCCAACAAACCGAATCCTTTCTGTGCAAAACCAAAACATGCTCATCTTGCATTATGTTGAGTAGATCTATTGTTGTGTATGTCATACTATATTAAAGATTTTGTTGATTGACATGTGGGACATTGGAAAACCCACAGAATTGTGTGCACTGCAGACAACATACATCTGAATTCTGTGTTGACTTATGTGGGTAACTCTCCCATGGTGTTTTTTGTTTTGTTTGGGGTTTTTTTTGTTGTGTTTTGGGTTTTTTTGAATGTCAACAAAACCAAAGTTTGTGCTCTCCTGGAAGTGCACATTTGTTACAAGATCCTTGAAGGACATGCTGATGGACTTGTTTTATTTTTCATTTTGCTGATTGTACTACCAGCACTTATTAATATTGGTTGCACAGGCTGAGGGAGAGCAGGGCTGACCCTGAAATGGGATTAGCCAACTCTTTCTCTTACACTAAACTGATTTTGGGAGATATCCCTTTCTTTTTTGGCTGATCATAAGGCTTATTTTGTATATAGTAATTTTCTTGATACTCAGAAAGTACAGTTTGAAAGATACCTTCTCTTTCCAGCATTTGAAAGATGCTCCAACAAATCTCCAGCAATGGAGCTTGTTGCTGTAAAGACCTAATTCTGTGTATGTAGGTTCTAGCTTACATTTCAGTAACTCCCCATGCACAGAGCAGTAAACTGTCCTTTTTAAAAATGATCTTAGCAGAGAAGGAAGCTGTTGGTAGCAGAATTGCTTTTTTTACAAATTTCATTTTTCCACTGAAGTGGAAATTGGGTTCTGAATTCTAAAATGAACCAGCAATATCCCTAACATAAATAGTGAAGGTCACCTTTATGTGGGGAAAAACATTTACAGAGGGCATCTTTGCAGCTGTCCTTGCAGGACTTGTTCTCATGAAGACAGCAGGGAGTCTGGAGCACAGAAGAGGAGTGAGCTATTTCACAAGACCTTTATGGAAGTGCTGCTTTGGTTTCAGATTTTCCAAGAGATGGAGGCTCTTTAATAACTTGATATCCCATCTTAGAGCCTGCAAGATGCAGAACCCCCTCTTAATTGCTCTTAAGACTGAAAAGGAAGTGTTTAAGTGGTTTTTTTTTTGTTTGTTTGTTTTAATCCAAACAATTATCAGGTAGAGGGTTGCTCGAAATACTGAAACTGTGTGTTTCCAGTTTGTGGCTATGTTGTTCCAAGCAACAAACAGTTGCAAACATCAGGGTTTGTGCTGATCATGTTATCATGCTGGCTCCTTGGCCTTTTTTCTGTTTTAAATTATTTAAGAGTTTAGTGAGTATATGAGCCTCTTATCTGAAATTAAAAAAAAAAAAACACCACCACCAAAACAAAAGAAAAATGGGTCAATGAAATAGATTTTTGAGGAGGAAGGAGAATTTGGCTATAGGACTGAATGAGTTTTCCTTGATCAGGAAAAGTTATGAGTTTGGCCTGAGAACTATAGGAGAAATGTTTTGAGAGTAAGCAAAATAACTTCTTATTACCATTTCTTTCTTAACGTGAGTCAAGAGTCAGTTCGTGGATAAGGACACACCTGCTTGCCCTGAAAAGCTCACAGACACAAATAACAGCTCAGTGTTTTGGTGAAGGGGAGGACACAGAGACCTTCTCAGAGACAAGAACAAGGAATTCTTTTCACAAACCTAGACAACAGTAAGAGCCCATTGAAGTCTGCAGTGGTATTGGATTTTTAAAAGGAAGGGAAGAAACCATTCAGTTTGTGAAAGATTCAAGAGATGAGATAAATAACTACCGTAGCACTTAGGCAGATCCATTCCAAGGACCACACGCAGTATTGACTTGACTGTGGATTTTTCTTAAGCTCCCTAAGCTGCGTCGTGTTTAGCCTGTGATTTCAGATCTGTGTTTCTGCAGACTGCATTGTCCTGAGAGGCTGAGCACCTGACTTTGGGCTAAGCTGCAATTTTATATGAAATATATATATAAATATGTATATGCTGACTACTCTTCCAGCGGCTATTTTAAAAGGAAACAAATCAGGCAAGTGGCTTAAAGAACTGTACGCTTCCACCTTCGCAAAAGATTGTAAGTTGTGGATTTTGAGCAGACAGGATTGTCTGTGTGTCTGTCTGTAGTTCAGGTCTACCCATTTAAGCTGTTAGGTGGGAGAAGCCTATCCCTGTCTTACTGTTCCCTTGACTTTTTTTTAGAGGAGAATCTGTACAGTATGTAGGACTTAATTTTGTGTCACATAGCTGGCACCTGACCTGTATATTTTTGGGGAAACTTAGTTATTCAGTATGATTTTGGCACTGTATGGGTCAGGCACTTGTAGTGTAGATGTTGTGGCATCTAGTTTGAAGCACATGAAACCTTTTAATGGATTAAAGCTTTGAACATTAAAGACCCCAGTGTTTTGTCAATACTGCAGTGTTAGGCTGCAGTAGTCAGATGATGCTAGCCGTTGTGCTTTTAGGTTCTTGTTAAGGTGAATCATAGCTATTTTTTTTCCAATTTTAGAGAGATTGTTTTGAAACTGTTATCTTGCAGAACTTTTAGTAATTCTGATCTCCACAGATCAAATTTTATTTTAACTATTAGATCATGGAACCAACTGCAATTTATTACTGTCAAGATTTGCTTATTAAAGTGTTCCGGGTTAGAGATAAAGCCATAAAGAGCATTGTCTTTTCAGTATTGCACAGAAGAAGTGGCTATTTGGTTCTAGCTGGTTTTGCAATGGAAGGCAGGGGGTTTCAGGAACAGCAGCGATGTGTCATAATATTGCAGTTGTGACCTGGCTGAATGAATCTGTGCTAACACCAGACGGTTATCCCTGTTTCAGATTGACCAGTTATTCTGAACTAGAAATACTAGACATCAAAAAAAAAGACACTGAAACGAATTTTTGTTACAGTACATCTTGAATGTGTTTGTCACTAAATGAGCAGATCTTAGCAAAGACAGTAACTGCCTTTTTAAAATGGAGTTTTGTTGGAAAGGGTGTGGCCCTTTTTCCTCCCCTCCCTTTTTTCTGTCACCAGTCTGGAGAACTTGAGAATGTTCAAACATGAATGTTTAAACTTTATTTAAAAATAGCTTCATTTTGCAGGTTGTGAGAACAGGTCCTAGGGTTCCTCTGCAACACATAGGTTTCCCTAGGAACACTGTCAAATTGGATCTCCTGATGAAGCTTCAGAAACTGTAAGGGGATGATTTGGAGAAAGAGAAAGGGGAATAGCAAAGAGCTATAAGAGAGAACACTTAAATATCTCATTCTGACAGTGATGTGTGTTACATTCTTGCATGTCAGGGTACGTATTTATCTTTCTGTTTTCAGGGACTTTTTATTATCTTACATATCTTCTGAATTTAAATGTTCTGGTAACTTACGCTGGCTCAGAGATTCCAGCTAAGATTTTCACATGCAGCTTTGTGGGTAGGTAACGTGACAGTTTTATTTAAGAATTGTTAGCAATTCAATAGCCACTATTAATATGTGCGCTGCCATACTTTGGTACCTTTACTTTGGTTTATATTTTTGCCATCGAAATAAATACCCAACCATTTCACCAGGTAGAGAACATGTGAAAAAAGCTTTTTAGCTTCAAAGTGCCATTCTAAATGCCCTTGATGTATGGTAATAGCACAAGTGCAGCATTTGAAAATGCCAGGAATATATGTAGGTTAAAAATGTAAATCTGAGAGGAAGGTGGGTTTCCTTCAGCTTTTGAGTAAGTCACAGATACCATTTTGAACACTTAAATCTTCAATATCTTTAGTATGGTTATTGCTAAAAAATAAATGTTTATTATCTTGGTTTATTGGTTCTTGGAAGAATGTCAAGACCATGTCTGACTGCTGAACATGGGAAAATGTTAACTTCTAAAAGCTGATGGAAAGATTCTTGGGTTATTGTCCTGCTGGGAGTGGCCTTCTGAGGGATTGAGGGTCATTAATTTTATCTTTCTTAGGTGTTTCTTCTGTTGGCGTCAGGTTTGCATTGCACTTGTCAAAATGCACAGATAATGTCTCGAAGCTATGAAGACAGCTACAGCTGTCCGGTGAAGGTGGAAAAGGTTTCCATGTTGTATTGATGTTGCTTCCCAGTAGGTGTTCAGAACTGGGTGGACGTTCACCAGCATTTCTCAGGTTTGATTAGCAGAGCATCCCTAACGCTGGGTTAACGGGGTTTCCCACATTTGCAGCATTGGGGGCACTGCCACATGGGCTGTAACCTGAGTTACGGAGCATCCAGCAACATTGTCTGGTAGTGTTTCTCACTGTGGGATTCCAGGTTAAGTCTTGCTGCTTAAAGTAAAGGAAACAAGATTGTTTAGTCTGTGGTCTGCAAGAAAAAGTCACCAGACTTTGCTTCCTTTTCCTGGAAGGGATGAGCAGATGGGAGATCCTGGCCTGTGAGAATTAGCAGCTTGTGCACTTGTTCTGGGCTCCCCGATGGCCTTGGGTATGTGTTCCTCTGACTGACTGCGTACCTGTCAGTCACCTAAGACCTGCCCATGTTCTGAGCAGAAGATGGGAGAGGGGATGAGTGTTTCAGTGTCTGGCCTTCAGTTGCCTTGGTAAGAGGTCTTAGCCAGCTGGGAGACTGGGAATCCCTGTCTTAAGGACGACAAAGATTGGTGTAGGGGAATTTATTTAGTTAACAGAAAGATTTCTTTTTTTTTTGTTCTGTATTTCTCCCTTTTTCTGTAAATTAATTTAAAATCAAGTTAAAACCTCTGCTTACCTCTTTAAATATTAGTATCTGTGGAAGAAAAGTCCTGTAAATAAGGAAAAGTATTAATTGCAGGCAGTATAGATTAATTTAGCAAACTAAAATGCAGTAGTGTAGATGAAGGAACAGCATTATTTCTTTTGACCCTAAGTGCTTCTAAATGTAATTTAGTTTGTAAACCCACTAATAAAATTCATGAGGGAAGCAGTGAGGTTGCTTAATGAAAAATACCAAAATTTCATGGTTGATACGTTGCTACACTCAACAGTGCGCTACATTAGCGAATTAATAAAATACCCATAATTTAAGTTTAATATCTTGTGTTCTTTTCTGTGAGTGCACTTAAAAACAAATCTTATTTTCTCCCATGCTAATTTGGTTACTATAAACATCACTCTTTAACGACCCACTTGTCTATGTTTGTATTGCTGAGATCTTAAAGCTGCAGTAAAGCCACCTTCTTAGAATTCTGTGTCAGTGTCGGATTGACTTGCAGTTTTAGTGTTGACCGTTTGAAAATTAAATCTCTTCTGAAAAAAAAAAATAAATCCAACTTTGCCTGTGAGATTGGAACTGGGTTCCTTTCCTGGTAATTAGCAGCAAGAGATTTTGTAGGTTATGTTAGGGTTATCGTGACGTTCGGTGTGTTACAACATTTTGATAGCTGGTTTTTTTTTGGGAGACATGGAGGAGGTTACTGTTCTACTGCTTGTCAGAAGGGGGGGTAATAAAAGTTTTTTCCTTTTCTGACAAATGGTTTTATTCTCCACTCACAATCATTGTGAAATATATATGCTTTTTCTCTTAGTAATTATACTCGGCTTCAATCTTTGCCTGATTTTGTGTTCTTGCTCAGCGAGATAGTAAGCGGCTCCCTGACTGTTTCATACTTGGCAACTTTTAAATGGGCCCTCAGGAGCTGGTTGCAAAGCAACTTTCTATGTATGGTACTTTCTTATCAAAATCTTCCTCTGTTATATTTTCTTCATTCATTCTTCAGTAGTTTAACATTCTGTATAGCTGTTTCCATGTTGTTGAACAGTGCTTTCTCGAAATCAATACTCTAAAGGTGACCAAATGATCAGAAGTCGAATGCGACTTGAATAAATGTGCATCAGGAAGATGGAGTTGTTCCAGAGTACAGCAGATCCTCCTCTGGTTTTAATTCCTGTATTCAACATTTCTGAACTGTGTTAATCCAAGGAGCAGTACCATTTTGGAATTTTAGAAATTCAACAAGACCATTTGATAAGGCATTGCTGCGCTTGTTTCTCCTCTAAAGCAGAAGAGAAATTAGGTTAAAGGAAATGTAGTACTTTTTAGTCCTTTTTACTTGCCTGTAAGTCATTCCACAATCATTCCACAGGTTGTTCTGCAAGAATTTTCTAGACTACTCAAGGATCATAGAGTCTAAATATTCTCATGCAGTATATAAATGTATAGCTAGATTTTTGTTTTATGCCAGTATGTTCCATTCTGAGAACTATGGAAGACACTGTTGCATCCACTGTACAAAATAATTTCTTGTAACTGAAAACTGCTGAAACTAACTTACTGAAAGAAGAGATGCAGCTAATGACAGCTGTTCAGAAAGTCACCAGGCTGTGAATGGAAGTTTAAAACCAAACACCAGAAGGTGTATAAATACTGTCCTTAGCTCGACTCTTCTTGTTATGGATGTACACACAGCTGGTGTTCTGATCAGAACTCAAAGCAGACAACCCATTGACCCTTTTTGTGGTGGACAAATCTTGGGCTTTCCTATTTAAAAAAAAAACCAAACCACCACTATGTCTATTTTAATTTTCTCTATCTAGAAGACTGAAGTGCATCTAAAATGTGCCTAGCACAGGGAGACAATTTTCAGACTATGAAATTCTCCAGCTGATGTTTCAAACTATGGATTTGCCAGAATATATCCTCAAACAGCTGTGTTGAAGTCTTGCAGCCTCCTAATATGCATTTCCTGCCTGAATGTCATGTGAATGCTTTTATCTTGGTTCCAGCATCACCTTGCCCTGGAGTGAATCAGAATAGCTTATGGTGAAACTTGAGGGCAATTCCCAAGAGAACAACTACTACTATTTCTAGCATGATACTTGTTGTACCTCTAATATCCTAGTTCACTAATGGGTTTTGTTGCAATTCTGTTGCAGAACTCTTTTGGGCATACTTTGTGATTAAAGAATGCATATTAATTACAAAATTTACACTTAAGTAATACAAAATGTAGACATCTACATTATTTTTTAAGCATTCAACTCCTATGACACCTTCCAAAGAACTGCTTCCTTCCCAGGAAAATCAGCAATATATTTAAACACAGAGGTAGCTGTTACACTAGTTTCAAGGAACAGTTTTGAGCTTGTCGCTCAGTTGTACATGAAATAATTTGTTTGTTCATCAATGCACTCAATAGCAAAACAATATTTTCTAGGTCAAGAAGTGGTGTTCAAGTGCCTTGGAGAAGGAATTCTTGAAAAGGCCTTTCAGGGATATAACGCTTGTATTTTTGCCTATGGACAGACAGGTGAGTCTCCTGTGCCACAGGGAAAGAACACTTTTTGTGCACATGGGAAGAACAAAACACAAATATTAAGCTATATAAGATTTAAAAGGTGTATTTTGTAACATGTTAAATGTCAAACATCTAGCTCAGCCAGTGATAATGGAAAGTTCTTAAAAGTGGCTCTGTAAATATGTTCCCAGTTCCTAGGTGCTGGGTCTGCTTTCAAAGCCTGAAAAGAGTAGTTCATACCTAAGACTCATTTAGCCTTTTGAGTGTGAGTGTGTTCAAAGGGGTCCCAAGTAATGGCCCTGCTGAAAGAAACCTTTACGTACACTGTAGACCAAAGAGCAAGCTGTCTGTCTGAAGTAGTATGTCATGTTGTTCTGGTATGTGCTTCTGGAGGAGTAAAAAGAGAATTAAAAGATGCTTCATGAACAAATGAGTAGCTTAGAAACTACATTTTAAAGCATTTTCTTCTCCTTTTTTCCTGTAGGTTCAGGAAAATCCTTTTCAATGATGGGCAATGCAGAGCAGCTGGGTCTGATCCCACGGCTCTGTTGTGCTTTATTTCAGAGAATCTCTGTGGAAGAAAATGAATCTCATACATTTAAAGTTGAAGTGTCCTATATGGAAATCTACAACGAGAAAGTCAGAGATCTGCTTGACCCGAAAGGGTGAGTAGCTCCACTCTCCCCCACAACCTTCCTTATTTTTGTCTGAAACTTTGTAAAAGTAGAAATCATTTTTGGAAGTCCTTGAGAAGGTTTTTTCAGAATGTATGTTTGTATGACTTCTTTTGAAAGGATTAGATACCTTAGATTAGATACCAACCACCAGAAAGAACAGAATATCCATGTGAAGCTTGTATATGAAGTAGTAACGGGCGTGGATCAGTTTAAGTATTAGGATACCATCATAATGATGGGAACAAATACTGTATGAGGTGGTTTACCAGAAAGCAAGACTATGTACAAGTAAATTCAGGGGTAGTTTTACTACATGATCCAGATGATATTCTGGTAAGAATTTTCATCAACTAGAAGGAGTTTGAAGCCCATTTACAACTTGTTTCTTGTGGTTTAGATATTGAACTTTTTAATGTGGAAGGTAACACCTCAGAATATACTCATGGCACTCTTTCTTCCATTTTGTCTACACAAAAATACTGGTTAGGCTACCTCTGGCTTCGAGATGTGTAGACAAGAGGTAGTTTGATAGGTTTGTATTGGCTGAGCATTGATGTACGTGGTATATATTTTGATTCTTGAACATAATTGCACAAGGTGAAGTGTGCAAGTTAGTTAAAAAGGTTGATTTGAGACTTACTCTATATGTCAACGAAGTGTGAAAAATGCGAGAAGAATTGACAAATTGCTGGGGGCTGGGGCGAAGATTTTTTGTTTCCTTTTTTGTCAGTGTTCTTTCTGACAAATAAGGTTTTTCAGATTTTGTTCCAGCTACAAATAGTGGGGTGGGAGGGTGCATTAAAAATAATTAATGTGTATAGATTAAAACCAGGTAGATTAATTTGAGTCTTTATTATTAATTTGAGTTAAAAACAATTGTGGAAGACTTTCTTCCTCTTACAATTAAAAGACATAAATTGACTTTGCTCCATAGAAGATTCTTATAATTTTATACTGTAAGTTTTGTTTTTTCAATAAAGTTCACGCTAGCGGATTGTACATAAAGTTTACTTTATTCCATAGGAGTCGGCAGTCCCTTAAGGTTCGAGAGCACAAAGTGTTGGGACCATATGTAGATGGCCTGTCTCAGCTGGCTGTTACAAACTTTGAGGTAAATCTAAACAAACGACAAGTTTATAAACCCATGGATGTAAGCAATAGGAATCTTAGATAAACTAGTGTCTATCCAAACATTTTGGTTTATGGTCTCTGGCAATAGCAAAGATCTTCTCTAATGCTTCAGGAGTATTTATTTAATGTAAAACCATTGGATTTGCCTTTATATTGGTTAAAAATGTAATAGTGGTCTCTCTTTAGTAATTTGTAATTTAAATCACGACAGGATCTGAGCCCACTTGACTTACCAAAACACATTCAAATAAATCAGTAGTGTAAAAGCCAATGAACTATTGTAGTTACAATGTAAATAATATAAAGTGGGACAGCTGTATGACTCGCATAGGCCTTTCTTTTTATGAGGAACCTGATCTGAAAAATGTTGTTTTTTTAAAAATGTTCATTCTTTGTGTAGTATTATGTGGGAACCATGTTTCTTTTTTGTGGGGATTTTTTTTTTTTGGACACATCTGTGCATATGATAGAGTTATAAAAACTGCTTTTGCAGCTTTTTTGGTGAATGGTGTGCTTTGAAATTCTAGGAAATTTTTTTCATACCTAATTTTTTGCTGATGACTGATGAAAGTTCTTTTAGGAAGTTTTTTTTGTATCTAGTTTTTGGCTGATGACTTTTATGAAACTGTCTTGGAAGACTCAGCAAGCACGTATATGAGACTCGGCGTAGTCATCTTTGTTTTTATGTACGTGGGAAGATAGAGGCTCCAAGTGAGATAACCCTTTGAGCCAATTAAGTGAAGATGGGATTAGTGCAATTCAGTAAAGAGGTGCATTGTGTTCAGTTGTGTAAGTAGATCTGTGCTGGCCTGATTACTGGCATTAAACAGTATGATTTGTTATGTGGATGTTGCCAGCATATTTCAGCAGCAGATAAGAAGGAGCATTGAATGTAGTTGCTGGGCTTTTAAGCGCAGCACTTAAAACAGAGATGTGTTTTAATGTCGTTCTGTGGAATTAAGTAACCTCTGTACCAATACATTTCAAAATGTGCAAAGAATTTTCTCATTTCTACCTTCCCTTCTTCCTCTCTCTTACATGTATGCACCCTTCCATCTAGATGGGGACTTTAGTCGGCAAGCACAATACTTGCTTTTATCCTAACATCATTTTTTATTCTTTTTGCTCTAGGATATTGAGTCGCTAATGTCGGAGGGAAACAAATCACGAACAGTTGCTGCGACCAACATGAACGAAGAAAGCAGCCGCTCTCATGCTGTGTTCAATATTACAGTGACTCAGACGCTTTATGACCTGCATTCTGGTGTATGTATTTCTGCTTCTACCTTTAATGCCGTGAGGTCCGGTAATCTGAGTAACACTGGCAAGACCATAAGGTTGAGAGAAACCTGGAAGAGTGAGGAAACCCACCAGATAAAGGAGACAGTTGGGTCACTTTTTAAGATTATATTGCCACCCTGAAGCCTGTCTTAAGTCTTAACTGTTGCTGGAGTTGGTATGTTTTAATGGCCTACTCTGCCAGTAAGGTTATTGATGTCGCCACACAGCTGATTCAGGTTCATAAATGCTTCAGCCCTTTACTGTAAAATACATGAGGGACTCTTAGAGCTATAGAAACTCTGACAAATCCTTCTTCTCTCATATCTTGAATTTGACACTTTAACCCACATGATTATGAACAGTGGTTCATGGTGCCTGTGTCAGACAAGCACTTTGTGCCGGTGTTTCTTAACTGTCGTTCTCCCATGTCCCATCTGTGCAGAATTCTGGAGAGAAGGTCAGCAAGGTCAGCCTGGTGGATTTGGCTGGGAGCGAGAGAGTGTCCAAAACAGGAGCTGCAGGAGAACGGCTGAAGGAAGGCAGCAACATAAATAAGTAAGACATGGGCATATGCAGGTTGCAAAGCTTAGTCTTGTAAGAGTGGCTGTTGTTTCCTTGGTCTCTCCTCTTGGTGTGCTTGTCATGGGTCAGTTCAATGATAGACCTCGTCAGAAGCAGTTCGATACGGCTCTTTCAGCTGCTCTGTGACAAACACCGTGTGTTTCTCTACATTGCCGTAGGAACCCTGATTCATACTTGACTCAGATGAGGGCTGTATGAATTTTATCTGGAAAAAGTGACAGCAGCGCTCTTTAAGCATATACCTTTTGTGATTCACTAATACACCCTGTCCCCAGGCTCATGCGTGTGTCTTATGCTCAAGGAAGAATGCAAAGTTGCAGAGTTGAATGGCTTTGTTCCAACATGTATTAAAATATGTAAGAGTATAGTTCACAGTTTAAGAAAACCGGATCAGAATGAAGCTGTTTTAGTTTAGCATTGCCTTGGGCATTTGTACTCAAGCAATGACAAGTTTCAAGGCACTTCTTCTACCATAATTGCTGTGTTTATTGCCCAAAAGCAAGAATTTAGCACACTATTACTGCTGTCTTAAGTATACTAATTTTCCTGGGAAAGAAAGTTTAACTGTTGCATTAAAAGCTACTGCTTTTTCAATTTAATTTTGAAATGTTACAAAATGTTATTTTAAGTTAACAATGAGAGCCCAAAGTGTGTTTGAACAGCATCCATGCTTAAAATTGTTTTAAATTACCTCTTTTTAGAGTTTGAACATGTTTGCTCTTTCTAGATTAATTTCTAGTCTTCTTGGTGTTTAATGCATCATATTGGCAGCCACGCCGGCATAGTCCTTGTGAAACAGAATGATGTGGCTCTATTTGCCTGATGGCAGGTATTGTACCTTTACCCCACAGGTTACCAGTTAAATTCAGATTGGTTTTACTAGAAACTGTATTTATTTGCATAAACAAAGGTGAGATTAAATGTTTCTTTCTAATAACTTGGGGAAGAATTCAAATGCCAACTCTCCCAAGTGTAGCTATAGATAAAGACTTCCCTTTTTTTCTATTAGGGCGTTTACTCAATGTTAAACTTCTACAGTATTGATGCATTAGGGGAAGGTTGTTTTGCCCATGCTGAACCTCTTTCACAATATAAGACTTCAAAAGCAAGCACCAAACTTTTCTGTAAAAGAAATTTTATATGGTATAAAACTGTTTATTAAGCACTCTCTATTTGCAATCTCTTTTGGAACTGATAGGCAAGAGAAGTCTTGGTGCTGTGGTTGGTGTATTTTATTAGATTTTTGCTGTTACTTGGAGCTTTAATGCAGTCTGACTTTTTCTGGAAGCCTTAAAATTGGTGCACATCTTTTAATAAGCTAGTTCTTCAGAGAACACTGTGCATGATCTTCCTTTTGGTGTGATGCACCTTACTAGGGAAAGGCAATAATCTTTTCTGGAGTAATACAGAATACTTAACCATATACCTTACTATGCTGGCCCCTTTTTAATTTTTTTTTCTTATATTAAAAAGCAGTAACTTAGATTGCTACCATGCACTATGTTTAATGAGATAAAAAATGGAGCTGCTGAAGTTGCCTGGCAAATAAACTTGCTGCTGGTGCTGCGTTTTGTTGCCTCAAAAGAAGAATGTGAAAGTAACATACCTGTTTGTGTATTTGCAAGACAGGGAAAATGTGCACTCAAGTGTGCATACCAAAAGTGCATATGTGATATTCAGCCAGTCTCTGCAGGTTTCTCTGCTCTTTGTTTGCTGCGTGAAACCTGGCTAGGGCTCTGGCAGCTGCCGCTTCCATCCCACAGCTTCTTCTGTTGTAGACACTGTTTCCTCTCTTGGGACAGTTGTTGCAGAGTGGGGGTGATGGATTGCTCTCCCACTTACTGAAACGAGAGAGTCGTGTCGTTTTGTTAACATCTTCAAAAAGTTGTAGTAAAGATTAGCTCTGTTTTTTCTCAGAGCTGCTGCAAAGTTGCCTTGGTGAAGGTGCTGGGTGTCTGCTCTTTATTGAGGTTTTTGGGGCACTTGCTGTACCTCATAGGAAAGCTGGATGGGCCTGTTCCTCCCCAGGATGTGCTAGTTCCCATACCCAGCATAGAGATGCAGTTGCTTAACAACTCTTTGTGGTGGTGTAGTTGAGAATTTCTAGAATACAATAGTAGGAGGAAGCAGACTAAACAAGCTGTCAATTAGTGGCTAAGAAAAATGCTTTCTGTGGGCAGTCTGCAATTTTAACTCTGATTAGTAAAATCCTAGCTGTTCTCATTTAAACTTGAGAATGCAAAAAGAAGCCTTTACAATGTCAACTGGCGTGGTTTTAGGGAGATGTTTTTGTTTTGAGAGTTATCTAATAGAGAGGTGGATTCTGCTCATGGAAGGATTTGGTGGTAAGTTGTACAGAAGTAGCTTGAATGGGTGCCATTTAGGGACAGAGCTGTTGAGGAAGCACCACAAGCAGCACTTTCCTTCAAGTGTTGCTGTCTCCGACCATGGTGGGAGTGTGTGAGCTTCCCGCCGCCCACTAGCAACGGCAGCCTGGTCGTGCCTGAGCAACAGGGACAAGGAAACAGAAAATGTGCAGAAATGGCACTTTCCCATGCTCTTGCACCACATAAGTTTGCTCTGCGGCTCCTGAACTGCCTCAGTTTGCCATGTGCTACAGGCTTAGGCCTTGTGGTTGATTCATTATATAAGTGGTGGGAGATAGGATCAAAGTAATGACAGATCTCTGGTGCATTGTTTAGCATGAAGGAAAAGGAAGGAACCCAGCCGATGAGTCCTGTAATTATTTTGTTGGGCAGCCATTTCTTTTACTGCTTCCTGAAGGTCTTTAGACATCTTTGTATTATGAAATATCAAGCAGAATACATAAATTACTCCAGTTTGGCTTTTATTGCAGATGTTAAAAGTCTTAAAATAAAATTAGTATTTATAAGGAGCAGAAATATTATCACATCTTTTAATCCTGTGTTAATAAACTGTAGCTTATAATTTCCTGTTCATTAAGATGCAGTGCCCATAACTTGAATAGGTGTTGCAGCCCTGGTGTGAAACAGTTTTCAATGCTAGGCCTTTTGGATCCCTGTTCTGAGTATCCTTTTCTTCCCCCTCCCTCAGTTTTTAGCTTTGGTTTTTACATTTCCCCTCATTTGAAAGAGGAATCAGAGGAAAATAAGCCAGGGAGACTTTTTAACTTTATGCCCCCTGAAGGTGGGCTCCATTGGGAGCGTGCTGGTGGTGCTTTTCGGTTGTGCCGCAGGAGGTTGCTACGGAGCAGCACACAGCATCCTGCTGTTTGCTCTGGCATATTGAGCATGCTGTCATCTCCATCTGTGGAGGCCAGAGACTAGAGGCAAGAACCAATTCTCATTCCTGCATCTTCCCCCTGCAAGCTTTCAGAGATTATTAGGCTTTTGTTTAGGTCACAAACTCAAATGAACTGTCCTTTTTGCTGTGAATTTTTCAGAGGTGAATCGGAAAGCTATCCTATAGACAAATTCACAAAATTGAGTGTTCTCTTGGGAGATCAGGTTGCCTAGCCTCTCCTGAAATTTCTTTTTCTTTCAATTCTGCTTTCAGGTCTGTGCTGTCTTCATACCGCTTTGTGCTATATGCAATATGAGACATCTTTTGTGACACATGGGGTGGTTCTTGTTACCTTACCCTCACGTATCTTGCATGAAGTACCCTTCTGCAACATTTTTGTCAATTTCTAAATGTTATTCCTGAACCACTGTGAGTTTCAAGCAACACTAAGGCCCTGTTACAAATATTGTACAAACACCGCCTATCAACTAAAATAGCACTACTTCTTTGAAAATAAAACTCAAAAGAATGGAGTGCAACAGTGCAATTAAAGATTTATTTGACTACCTAATTGTGATGCTGATGAAGTTTTCCTAGGTCGTTATAAAGATATAAATTGGGCACGAGTATGATGGACCAGTGTGCTCTTGGACTTCAGTGCTGTCTGTTTTAAAACCCTTTAGGCTTCTGTTTAATGTTCTCAGGCTCTTGAACCAGCTCATTGTCTTAAACATACTCACCCCAAGAGCCCCAATGTCACTTAAAATTTACACAGGGTGGTATAACAATTGGATAATATGACGCACCTCTGCTTTGCACTGAGTGCTAATACAGTTACCCCTGTTGGTAGAAGCGGTGCATGTCCCCAAATGAACGAGTTATCTGTATTTTTTTTCATGATTCCAGAGTGGTGTTTGGGATGTGGCTGTGTGCTAAGCAGTTTGGGGGCTTTTCTCTATCATGCTTGTGCAACATTCTTGTAGATGGGAGATTGTTTACTCTGTTCCCCTCACGAGAAGCTAGTGAGGTGCCACCTCAATTATAAATCAACACATTTGTCAAGGGACCTTGTAATTGGTCTCTTCTGATGAGCAGTTTTCCATTGTCGTGTGATGGGTGATTAGTTTTAGACTAGTTCTCCTGGGCCATAGTTGGTCATGAGGATGCTTCCTTATGGCTAAAGAATTGTAAAGTTTTAGTTGGTGGTTGAGCCAGTGCTCTTAAAATAGTTTCTAGAGATGGGGGATTCTTGCTGTGCTGCCAGCTCTGACTCGTAACAGTGTAATGAGGCAGTGTCCAAGATGGAAAGATTTTTAGTCTCTGAGAAAAGGTGTATGTCTGTTCAAAGGCAGTGATTCTCCATGTACTGAAGCAGTCTGCTTTGCACTTTTCAAGCAATTGTAAATACCTGAATATTTCAATTTAGTCTTTTTGGAACTTAGTCTTGGTACCAGATGAGATGAAACACGGTAGCTATCCATTTTCTTTTTCCAAATACATGACTTCAATAAATCCATTGCCCTGTTTGGAGCAGGGTCGTGGGCTAGCTGGTCTCCTGTAGTTATTTCCAGCTTAAATTATTCCAATATTTTAAAAATTGGATGTGGAGCTCTGGAGCGCATAAGTTAAACTCTTTAGCAAATCCCCTTTTCTGTGTTTTATTAAATGTCCGTTTGGAATTTGTGTTAAAGCTGTTCTGCTGTGTTGCATTTATAGATCACTTTCAACGCTGGGCTTGGTTATATCATCACTTGCTGATCAAGCAGCAGGAAAGGGAAAAAACAAGTTTGTGCCTTACAGAGACTCTGTACTCACTTGGCTTCTCAAGGTAATTAACATTTTCTGTTTGCGCTCTTCACAAGATGTCAGTTTAATAGTTTGTAGGATCATTGTAGCATACGTCTGTGTACGTGGACTTCTCATCTTTTTTCTTCTTTTTTAAAGAAATGAACTAAGGAGCTCTCCTAGCTGTATGTTCCAAGTAGTATGGACAGATAAATGTATCTTGTGTTAATTGTATGTAATTTGGCTGTTTTCACTTATGGTGGAATCAAAGCTGGTGGAGGTGGCTGTAAATGTTGATGGATTGTACTGGTTAGTTTACATCCAGAACACCTTTCAGTGTCTAAATAGTAAGTTGTGTATTTTAAGTATTTTTATAAAGGCATTGTATAGTCTCAGAACAATTTTTAACCCTCAGACTTTCTGTGGATGCACTCTACAGGACAACTTGGGAGGAAACAGCCAAACTGCCATGATAGCCACGATTAGTCCAGCAGCAGACAACTATGAAGAAACACTCTCTACTCTGCGATACGCAGACAGAGCCAAGAGGATAGTCAATCATGCTGTGGTGAATGAAGATCCAAATGCTAGGGTCATCAGAGAATTACGTGAAGAAGTTGAAAAACTGAAAGAACAACTCTCACAAGCTGAGGTAACATTCTTCACAATACAATGTAAACCAAGTTTCCCAAGGAAGTGTCAAACTGTGAAATACTAACTTTCTTTTTAAATCTTACAAAATGAAGAAAGGAAGAGTCTTGCACTTTTTAAAAAAATAATTAATCTTGTTTCCTGAAATAAATCCAACATAACATTTGCTTATTTTTAATAACTTAAATGAGGACAACATTGTACTGATGGTGACTCTTGTCAGAATAGACTGTTTTTGAAGAACTTCATGTCAAGCAACAATTGATGCAGCACAGATAAGAGCTAGGATACAACTGCATTCTGTAGACATGGCAGAATGTTTTTTGCGTTTCTGGACTTTATAATTTTATGATGTCCATAAAGTGTGAAAAGCTGTAAATTTGGTATTGGCCCACACAATATGTGCGAAGTTTCTCTCCTTGGCATTTATGAAAATCTATTTTAAAAATTGTCAAAACTGCCACATTGTAACTGTCAGCAATTTGCTTTAGTGCTGTAACAGTTAACGCTGTGAGATTGCTGCATATCTTAGATTTATACTTATAATTGGAGAGTGAAGTATCAGGTAGGATAGTTTATTTGGTGATATCTGGAGAAATTAGGCATTGCACTGCAGGAAAATATTTTTGATCTTTTTAGGCAAGATAGAAAATACTGGTAGAAAAAGAACAGAAGTGTGTCTGAGGGGAAATTTGTGTGATGTTTAAACATCACGTTCATTTAAGGCGTAGTGTTCCTTGTATGAACAATTTCCTTACAGGCTGAAATGGGAAAAATCTGCTTTAAGGAAAAGAAGCCATTCACTTGTCTTGTAAATAAAAATTTGTTCTAATCCCGTATTTTAAATAAAAAAATATTATTGTAGCATGATCTTCATTATGTTGGTGAACTGTGGCTGAACACAACAGTAGGAAGGTGTCCAAAGTCTTACTAATTTTTTAAAAAAGGTTTTTCTCATATACCTTCTGTTAAAAACAGTTATACAGAGTTATAGGCCAGCCTGTTGAATTGTTCCTTGGCACTGGATGTGTTCAAGCCCTTTGCTTTTGTTTCCTATTGTGAAGTAAGAAGCCTGTGTTAGCTCCAGAGCATGCCTTCCTTTGAAGGTGATCAACAGTGTCACTCTGAAAGCTTTAATGCAACTCTAGGAACACTTACGAAACCAAGACAGAATGGAAGGCTAAATATGAAGAGTTATTGGTATTTGAAACTACTATTGGAAGAAAGACTTCACTGCTGAACTTATGACAGCTAACACTTAAAGTTTTCAAATATTTAGATATTTTTATAAAGACACTGAAGCTTGAGTGGCCAGGCCCAGAGATTTTGTTGGTTTCATTAGCCTCTGGAGCTATGTCGATCTTCAGCTATTTCAGGTCTGGACTCATTATAGGATGCTTCTGTGCTCTTTGGCAAGTGACCTGTTTCTTCGTCTCCTGCCATGAAAAATCTGGGGACGTAGTTGAAGTCTGTACTTGTTGCATTTCATATTATGTTGCCGTGTTCAGTCTCCCGGTGCAAGCAGATGTTGCAGTGGGAAGAGTAGCTGAAGATTTTTGCTAATTTCTGTCTTTTAGGCCATGAAGGCACCAGAACTGAAGGAAAAACTGGAGGAATCAGAAAAACTAATAAAAGAGCTGACAGTCACCTGGGAAGAAAAGCTAAGGAAGACAGAAGAAATTGCACAGGTATTTCAGAAATTTTGAGGAGGAAAGGCCAGATACTCATAGTGCAAGTCAGCTGGATTTCATGAGCTGTAGTGGTTTATGGTGTCTTTCCCACCAGCTATTTGGAATTCCTCTAGGTTTTTGTCTTTTTCCCTGGTTTCTGGTTGTTTGGGGTTTTCTTGAAGTCTAAATTTCATTAAAGGTAGCTATGTCATGATATCATTGATAAAAGCTAATATTTTATTTTAAAATAAAACATCAAAGTATGTTTGGTCAGCTCATTTGTTAGACCACAGTGGGATCTTGGATGTGTTTCCCTTGAAGTGACTAAGAAAATGAAGAATTACAAAAGGATCAGAATTTTGGGCAGTATTTCTTGCTTTTGCTTTTAGTGACTTCTTAACCAGAGAAGGAGAATGCGTATGCTAATATTTTAAGTACAATAATAAACAGACAAGACTTCTGTATTCCAGTGTACTTTTCTGTCATTTCCACCATCTATACCTTGGAGAACAAGACAAGTATTGTTGGTTTCCCTTTCTAGTCCTAATGTTTGAGACGCATGCTTTGATGCAACCACTGTTTAAATAAAAAAAAAAAGCAAACCCAAAAACCAAGCAAACAGGGGTAAAGCCAAACCAAACCCAACAAATACCCCAACCCCCAAACTGTGGCAAAGCAAGTAGATGCTCTAGCTGAATTAATGATACTGTAAAAGAGTAAACCTAAACTGTGGCATGCTGTTTTCTAAGTTGTCTGTGACTATGGTTATCTTTGAAGTAATTGCGACTGTGACTGGTTTTTAACTAACATAGAGGTTCAGAGCCATGTGTTGCTTATGACTAGCTCTAATAAAATCAGTAGGGCTGCTTAGGTAAGTTCCACTTTGGGGAAGCAGGTGTTTCAGGATTAGATCTAACTTTTTGTTATTGGTGTGTAAAAATAAATTCAATTAAACATACGGTACTTGACCAATATCTTAAGTTCTGTTTCTGGTAGCAATGTACAGAATGCATGTTCAGCATGTGTATCTTCAGCTTTAGTTGCTCTGCTTTCATTTACTTGCTGTGCTTGTCTCTATGTATTGCAGCAGACAAGATGAACCTATTTTTATGCTTGCAGGAAAGGCAAAGACAGCTAGAGAGCATGGGAATTTCCCTTGAGTCTTCAGGTATCAAGGTTGGGGATGACAAGTGTTACCTGGTGAACCTGAATGCAGACCCTGCACTCAATGAGCTTTTGGTTTACTATTTAAAGGTAAGAACGTGAATGTTTACACAGAATGAAAGGATACGTGGTTTTTGTTTTGAATTCCTGGCTCACTTTGTTATTCAGAGTGTATTTAGAGTTTTAAGACTAGTTGCACCAGAACAGGATAGGCCGCCTCCTGCTCTTTAGGCGATTGTTCTCCCTTTGCAGTTCAGCTTCGTTGTTTTCATAATTGATCTCCTGATTGCCAACAGTGGGAGAACTACTTAGTGTATTCCGGTGTTGAGATAAATTCTAACTTTTCCAGACAGGATGTGAATAGAATTGCCTTTTGGGCTGAACTTGAAATGAGAGCCTCGTGTTAGATGATTCTTTTTGTTAGCAAACAGAGAATAACTTTAAATACTCAATGTGTTAATCAAAAAGTGATGATGTTTAGTAGTAATCAGTAAGAGTAAACATAGACTTCAATGTCAGAAAATATTAAGAAAAAGAGAGGGGAAAAATGAAGTGCTGTTAAAAATGTACAGTAATTTATTTTCCTACTGCCGCTAGCTTTCAAACCATTCTGTTTAGCGTAGTCTCATGTCAGAGTGAAATAGTGTCAAATATGAACGTAATAAGTTTGTCAGGAAATGCGAGCTCTTTGTCAATAAGATATAAAAGACTATCCTGTCTCTTTTTATAGTTCCTTTTCTGCTTCAGTGGCTGAGATAGGGCTTCTGTATTTGAGGAGTAGGAAACAAAGCACATCTTTAACAACAGAAAAGTGTTTCAGCAGAATTTACAATATGACCTGAAATGATGTAGAGATTAGTGTGTTTAGTTGAGTTGCTCTATAGCTGTTTTCTGAAAAGGAGCCAATTCCATGCACCTTGTTTTACCATCCATGTTGTCTTCTGTTATATATATGCCTATATGACATGGCTGGTTTTCTTCACTATTTGCATTTATTGCTTGTATGAAAGCGTAATCTGAGAATATTTTAAAATCAGTATTTGTGTGTCAACTGCTTTATTTTGCTTTTATCTAAAACCATATGAAGATAAAGTGAGAGCAGAAGAACAGCGTGTGTGTGACCTTTGCAGTCTTCAAATCTGCTGTGGCACCATTTCTGCTCTATCGAGGCGTTTAACAAAGGCAAGCACATAGATTGTGCAGTCTGTGCTTTGGCTAATATTTTCTTAGTTATATAAACAGAGATAGTTTGCTTGTCTCTTAGTAACAGCTTATCTTCTAGGATCACACAAGAGTTGGTGCAGATACCTCTCAGGATATACAGCTCTTTGGTATAGGAATCCAACCAGAACATTGTGAGATTGATATTGCTTTAGATGGAGAAGTTACACTCAGACCAAAAGAAAATGCAAGGTAAGGAAAAAATCAGCATTTTTCAGTGAAGCGTTTGCTTTTGTTTACCAGGAGATAACTTGGATGCATTTTTACGTAGTCAGCAATATCTTACATTATGATCAATGAGTAGCTTTATTGTAGGTGACTTAAACAGATACTTATAACTGAAATTCAGCAGTAAGCCAGAGATTTCCCCACATGAGTGCACACTCACCCACCCACCCGCTCTGCAGCAGAACAGGCTATCAGTGGCTTGGCTGATAAACCACAGAATAAACCATCCCAAGAAGGTACTCAGTAGGAATGAGGGACCATTGCTCTCTGTATCTTGGGTCGTGACAGGATCACTGAGACATTGCTGGCAATCCTCACTCATGTGATGGGATAGTAGGCTGTGTCTTGATGGGGGAGGATAAATTGTGCCTTGTGAGTAGCTCCTGTTGTAAAGCTCACTATTTTGTGAGAAAGAGGTGTTTTAAAGATATTAAGATCTTTAAATTATTTTCTAAATCTGTAATTACTGCTCTCCAGTAAATAGGCAGTGTGAAGTCATGTTTCTCCTTTTGTTTCTACTTCAGTATTTTAATTACATTGCATTTTGGGGTCACTGTGGCTTCCTGGGTAGAATTGTCACTTCATCTCCAGTGGCATGTGATAGTTAATGGTCATACTGCTCAACTCATATCTGAATAACTAAATAATGTATTGATTAGTATAAGAATGAGAAACAAAAGTTTAAAAAGTCAATCTCTTTCGTTCTGCCTTCAGTGAAATATTTTGTAGTATTTGCATTTTTCTTCTGTACCCTCCAGTACAAAATTTCAAACAGATGGGATTCAGACTTGTGGTGATAGAGCTACTGTACTGGAAATCAGTCATTTTGACTGGCGAGAACAAAGGCACACATCTGTGGAGAAACATATTTTGTTTTACTTGTACCTCATCTGCAATGCTTAACCAGATGTTCTTAAGATACTAGTGTCAAAAGAAATTTACTTACCAGAATTTCACTTAAAAATAAATCTGGTTTTAAATCAAGTGCTTACATATTTGCCTTGACTTACTTGAGAGAGACAGCTGAATTTAGAGCACTGCATCTGAAAAGGCTTTTTTGTTTTACTTAAGCTTTTTTTTTTTCCTTTCACATAAAATGTTCTGCTTTTTGACTAATGTGTGGGAAAGTTCAACAGCTCCATTTTTCCCATTTTGTGACTGAAACTTAAATACAAGGAAACCTAAATGCAAAGATAGCGGTATAACAGATGTTCACAAAAATAGATCCATGTTAATAATGGAGACTCTATTTGTTGAAAGAATGAAACTTGGATCTAAGGGTCTTTTCGTGTGCTTGAACACTGAGTATGTTAACAGTACGTTTTACAACTGTGTGTTGGCTAACTTATATCTTGAAGAGCTTTATCAGTAGGATTTGCATGTATCCAAGTTTACAGACTGTTTATAAGAAACAGGCAGTGACCCAGTTTAAGAAATGGACACATAGAGAAAACTGTGCAACTAAAAGCAAAAGAGTTGTACCAGCCCAAGCTGGAGAGGAAAGGTGCTTTGTGTTTAATTCTGAGAGTAGAACCCAGACCAATGACTTTCTCATTGATTCGTTGATGAGAACCTAGCAGATTTGTGCATCGTATGATACAAATTACTGTCTGTATGTGGGAGAAAAGGTTACTTTTCTTGTAGTTACTTTACAACCTTTTATTTTTAGGATTTCACTGAAGTTGTGTTTTCTTCTTTCAGATCCTGTGTAAATGGTGCACTGGTATGTTCTGTCACTCAGTTATGGCATGGAGACAGAATATTATGGGGCAACAACCACTTTTTTAGGTAATAGGTGATATTTACATTCCAACCTCTTTACATTCAGCCTATTTTTTTTTCTTCCACTTTTCTGGATAAACTTTTTAGAAACTGCATTTCAATTTTTATACAGAATAAATTTACCAAAGAGGAAACGACGAGATTGGCTGAAAGACCTTGAGAAAGAAACTTCATTAGGAGAACATGATCTGGATGCAGCTAGTGAAGCTTCTTCAGAACCAGACTACAACTACGAGTTTGCACAAATGGAAGTTATTATGAAGACACTGAATAGTAATGGTAAGGCAACTGCCAGATAAAAATGTTCTTTTGCATTGTCTAACAAATTCAGCGTGGAACTTAATTTCTGGGTAGAACAAGTGGTACACTTGCTCCAGGGGCCTTTGGAGCATTTTCAGAAAAAGATATTTTACAGAAGCAATGTTAGGCGTATGTGTGTATATATGTGTGTATGTGTGCGCATATATATATGTATATATGCACCTAGGTATAAATGCAGACACACACACAAATCAGCAAGTGGTTTGTTCCCTGACACACAATTTTATCTGTACATCTGCTGTCCTTTATAGTGCAGCTGAGTTGTAATCATATGCCTAAGTCCTACCAACCTCTTGCTTTTGCAAGTTACTGCAGACAAAAGAATGCTCCAGATATGGCTCAGTTAGTTCCATCCTTCCTTTTTTATCAAATATTACTGACACCATTTTAACCTTAGTAGAAAACACTGAAATGAAAAAAAAAAACCCCAATAGTCAGATGTCAGCTAGATTGGTTTTTAATGTGTGATCACTCTCAATATTTTATTTGATCTTTGTTAGAACCTATTGTGATGCCTTTTTTGGACAGTATAATAAAATACAGTATGTATAAAATACAGTATGTATAAAATAATGGTATGGTATATATAAAACCATGTGGTGTTTTCACGGTTTCATATGGTATAAAGAAATGCTGAAAAACTTGGTAAACTACTGGATGCTTTCTACAGGTTTTTTAAATGCACACAATTTCAGAGGCAGATACCTTGGATTTTGGTCAGTCACCAAGATGATACAGTAGATCATGTTTCATCGCTTTCTGTTTTCCTTTTTTTTGTATCTTCACAGTATTTTCATTGATTGGTGTGGTTTACTTCTCAAAATACAGTATTTACTTTTTTCTTGGTCTCTTCATGTTGTTCAGCTTTCTGTGTTTTGCAGTTGAGTACAGCATGATGGTTTCATATGCTTGATGCTCTAGCAGTAGTTTGCAGAATTATTTTTTTTACAGTTTTATTTAATAGGATTGCTTGTGTGAGTGGGTTATAGGGTCAGGTCATTTAAGTTGATGTGAAATGACTTTTTGATAACACAAATATTCTCATTGTGGTTCACTCATGCCAGGAGATGAATTTCAGATGAGTCTGCCATCCTGGTGGTCTTCAGTGTTGTCATCCCTTGTGAAGATTCTGTTGCCTGTTTTAAGGCCTCAAACCATCCCGTATCTATGCCAAAACTGGGACAAAGGTTTTTAACTCTGTTGGCTCATGCATGAGACTGCTGGAGAAATATGAAAGCATTAATTGATGCTTGATTTGCTTGTCACTAACCAGAGATTTGACTGAACTGTAGCAGTCTACAATGAGTCAGTGTTCTTTTAACAGAGGGTCGCGTTTTTTGGTTTTCATGTATTGTTATGTGGCTGATGGAAAGGATTCTTCACAATATTTTAAGTGTCCTTATATTTCAGTTCAGTAGACTTTGAGTGTGGTCCAGGCCAATTTTTGTCTTCGTCAATTCTGTGTCTTTGCTCAAGAACAGTGCAGATGTTGCTGTTTCATTATAGCTCTTTCCTCCCTAATGTGCAGCAAATGTTAGTAGTCATACGTCGCACAGTTTCAGAGACATCAGAACCTAGTTATCCTGCTGCTTCTCTCTTCTGCTCCCTCCCACATAGGTGTTGCTTAACTAAGTTGGAGAAGTAAGGGATAATAAAACCCTGACGAAACAAGCGACTGTGAAGATCAGAGTCTGATCTTTTGAGTTGAAGCTAGATAGCGCTTCCAGATTCTGTTCTTCTCAATGGTATAGCTAAAATACAGGTTTTCTGACAGGCTTCCAGTTGGTGGGTAAGAAGTGTAAAGCAGCTTTGCTGTAATACCATTTATTTATTCTTCCTTAAAATGAAAACTAAATATGGTAAGGAAGAATAAATAATTAAATAACTGAAGTTAGCTAATTCTATTATCCATATTCTCTAGAGAAACCCTAGGGGGGAATAAAGGGATATCTTAAAAATGTTATTAGATAGTTATAAGTGTTTATGGGTTTGGGATTTTTCTTTCACATCATGGTTTGATATAGCCAAAAGCAAAAGTTTTTGGTTTTCCTTTGTTTTGGGTTTTGTTCTCTCTTGATCTATTTGAGAACAGTAACTGTCTTTAAATAGGCTAACTTCTGCAGGGCGCAAGCATATTTGATTTTATGGCATGTAACCTGTACAACAGCGTCACATATTGCATCCAGCTCCAGAGAAACTCTGAGGAAAATGTGTAACTTTGAAAACAGCTGTAAAGAAAACATCCAGATTCTTTCCTCGCTTCAGCATGTTTCCTTTCTTTGTGGGATTCTGTCAGACCAGCTTTATACTGCTAATTTATGATGCTGGTCAAACACAATGCAGCAAAGACATTTATTTTATTCTTGTGTACGGTGTGGTGGTTAGGTAAACAATGTGATTAGGTTACGCAGGCACTTAGGTGAAATCTTCAGGAATTTATTCGGTATTGTTGTGACTGGATGAACAGATTCCAGTTGTGAATTAAGTGACATTGCAGCAAGGTAATAAATGCTGTTCATCCTTCGGAGGAAGTACATTCTTCTGGTTCGATGTTAATGTTCTAACATTTTGCAGAGGATTAGCTGCACATGAATGACCTTGTCAGGGTGACTGAACTCTTGGCACATAAGTATGTAAAGGATTGGAACTTTAACACTCTATGGAACTTGCTGTATGTTTGGTAGGCACTGGGTAGAATCTTCCCTAATTTATTGGACTTTGCATGAGAAACCTAAAGTTGTGGAATATGCTGCTTAAATCTAACTTAAACACTATTGTGTTCTTTTGAATTGTGAAAAACTTGACTTTTATTTTTTTCGTCTTCTAACTAGGTGGTTTATAATTCACAGTGTATTTTGTGTTTTTTCACTATGAAAGGCTGCGGGTTTTTTGTGTAAACTCTTTCTCAAGTTAAATTGTTAAAGTACAAATTTACTTTTTATATTTCAGAACAATCATCACCCACTTTTTTTTTTTTTTCATTTTTTTTTTTCCACCAGCAGTAGTGGATTTTGTTGAAATTGGGAATTTTTACACTAGGTTCTTACGTCTCATTTCAAATATTTTCCGTGATATAATTTGATCCTTTGGTGGTTGTGATCTTGTAAATAAAAGTGACTGAAAAGATCACTTTTATTAAGGAAATCTGCTTCCTGAACTTGGAGCTGGTCTTTGAGCAGTTTAGGAAAGTCTCATCTTAATGAGTCAGCCTTAGATTTGTTTCCTGTGTTTGCAAACACAATAGAGAGCTTTAGTTTCTTCCATGCCTCTTCTGTCTTCTGTGTCATGCCTGATTTCTCAACCGTTCTTACACATAACTAAAATAATTTTAGGGATTATCCAGTAAAACATGTGCGTGTGAAGGTAATTCTGGTAATACCTGGAGAAGTTAGGAGGAGAAGGATGATGATGATGCAGATCAACATGAATAACTTGTTTTGTAGCCTAGGATATTAAACTTAGTTCAGCGAGTTGGTCTTTGTTGCACTGTCTGTTTAAAAGCTAAAAATAGCTGTCTTTCTGAGAATGTCATGTAATAAAAGGTAATATTTCTGGTTATTTTAAGACACTTTTATGCATCACTGTTTTGCTACTTGGTTGCTGTTTATACTGACTAATTTTTAACTTTGTGCTTGATAATTACCATTGTGGTGGTATTTGATGATGCCTTTGTGTGAAGCCAGTCATTTCTTCCATGGATAATGGTAGGGCTGCAGTAGCAACTTGCAGTAGTGCTTGTCTTCTGCTAAAAATAAAGATGTGCTTTATATCAATCTTAGTATTTCAAAAAAGGATGCTGCAAGGCAAATACCCCCTGTAACAACAAAACCCTGGAGATCCTGTTGGCTTCTCTGGCATTCATAATAGGAAGGATTTTTTTATGAAGTGACTTACCTTAGTAGCCATATGTTAAGATTGCAGACAGTGAGTTATTTTATCTTTAGCAAAATTGGTCTCAGTAATTTTTAGTACTAAAGTTGTTATAGATTACCGAATACAGTAATGTTATGTTGGTTTGCAGAGATACAGGGGATGTGTTCTTTGGGAGAGTGTATGTATGTGTTATGGTGCCCAACATATGCTACTAGTGATGGAAACCCTACAGAACCTTTCATGTGAATCCTTTATTGCATGCTATAGTAACCCAAATTTTCTTTCATGTGGCATCGTAGCATCAGGAAAACTTGTACAAAATCTTATGAGGACTTGGTTTTGGTAATGAAGACAGATAGTTCATAATTAAATCACATTGATGTGATTTTTGGCTCTTTTTTTTTTTGAGAAGCATACCTCTAATTCCAAAGTGGGACAGTGTAATTAACTCTAGGTTTTTTTCTTCTCCCTCTTTTGTGACAGACTAGTACCCTTAAGTCACAGCAGCTCTTATATTTGCAACATGTAAGAGGTATCACAATTATTTTAAAGCTGAATTTTTTTGCATTTGAAAATCCTGGCGTGTTCTAGAGCTGCAGTGTTGCTTCCCCAATAATCCACCACTCCAGCTATGGAGCTCCTCTCCCTTCACCACCTGATGGACAGAATCAGCAGTCTGTTAGGTGGCATGCTGTTGCTCAGATACTCATCCAGATTGGTCCTCTTGCAGGCCACTTTTTTGCTGTGTTTAAGCTTCCAGATGTATATACATGAAGCAGATATATACTTGGTGTAGTATATAAAAGGAACTTACTCCACTGACTTGCTCTTTCAGAGGCGCAGTCTGGCATTGGACCTAAAACCAGGAATAGACAGAGTAATGTTTCTCTGAATGCAATTTAGGTTTAACTTTAGCTGATTGGCACAAGCAGTTGTTGTTTCAGGATAGAGTATCTAAATGGATATTTGTTCTGGGTTGATACTGAGGTGAAACGTGGTTTGTAAAGCTAAGTGCAGAAGTCTCCTCCAGAACGTCCTTTGTCTGCTTCAGTTCTGCAAAGCGCGCTGGTGCAATGCACCCTGTGACTAGTCAGACCATTGGTTTGTCTCAGTTTTCAACTGCAGCCCTCCAACATGTTTCGTTCTCTTCCAAAATGGAGAAAGTACATTGCTTTTTACTTCCTCAAGTTGTTTCCTTCTCTGGTTAACATCATCTTCCCTTGTATTTTGCTTTGTTCTCTTCTTCTTAATGTGTTCCCTTTTCCATCTATTCTTTTTTTGTCCTGCTGGGATTCTGGAACATATTGTAACTTCACAGTACTGAGGTAGGCAGTAGATGAGGATCTTAACCATTGTTCTAGCCTCCTTGCATGCCATATTTTTTTTTTCTTGTTTGAATTTGTTTATTTAATACAATACACATTATTTTGGCTTTTGTTTTGGGGGGCAATGGCCATCTTGTGTTTGCAGAGACTCTGGCGTATGTTGATTGTTACCAATTAAATGATGAGTGTTCTGTAATACTGAAATGGCACTTTCTCACTTTTCTTCTCTCTCTTCCCTCCCCTTCCTTTTTAGATCCAGTACAAAATGTGGTCCAGATCTTGGAGAAACAGTACTTGGAAGAGAAGCGGAGTGCTCTTGAGGAGCAGCGGCTGATGTACGAGCGTGAGTTAGAGCTGCTGCGACAGCAGCTCTCTCCAGAAAGGCAGCATCAGCATTGTAGCGACAGACTCTCCTACACTGCTCAGACTGCACAGCAGAAAGTAAATCTCTGGACAGAAGAGAGGTGAGAATACTGGAGTGAAAACAAAGGAATTAATAAGAACTACGAGGGGTGAAAGATGGGGCTTGAGTGGTCTGTCAGAAACTGGTAATATTTTTGTAGAGTTGACATGCAGTACAACATGTGCCTCCACCAAAGTTTTAGCATTTAATTTAGGACTAGGTTCTGGAGGTTTTCTGGTTTGATTTAACAAACAAATTAAATAAGAGTTTGGCTTTTATTGATCAACATTATACCTTTTTTTTTTTTTAAAACTAGAAAAGTGATTCTGAAATGTTTGGTTTAGCAATTTGTTTAAGTTAGTTCTGGAAAGAAAGAAAAAACCAGAGCAGAGGTAAATTTGTCAACTCAGACTAAGGAGTCCACTAAGGAGTATTGTGTGTTGAGAGTATACAATGAGAGCACAGTATTTTGCAATCCGAAAGCCGTATGAAATAAAGAAAATGGGAGTCCTTAAATGTTGTATGTATGTGTTTCTGAAAGTAAGCCCAGCTTTAGAAGAGTTTGAGACCTGCAGAATAGTAAAATGGAGTATGCTTGAGCTGTTCAGGAAGTGAAAGGCTTGCCATGAGGTGAACAGGCCCCTTTACAAAGGAATAGCATGGCATCTCAGTGCAGTTGTGGTGAATGATCATAATGAGATTTAGATTTGCAGGGACTGTTAAAAAAATGGACTAGGAAGGGTGGGGGCAGAGTTGAAGCAGCATATGTGTGTTTGCATCTTGACGATGAGAGAAGCTTGTTCTTAGTATTACTGGTGAGAGGAGGACATCAGCTCCATGGAGAGAAGTTCTAGGGGCAGCAACCAAGATGATTTAAGTTTTCGGCATACAAATGAATACTCTGCCATTGGGTTAATTCAGCATTTTGACTAGATGTACTCGCAGACTTCTTCTAAGTTTCTTTTTAATCTATTTTCTTTTAAAACAGAAGCTTCGTTATTTACTCAGCCTTTTTTCTGTATGTAATGAGTTTGAGTGCTGTTTCCTGTTTTGATTATTTTTGCTTTATTCTCCATCATTTAAAAAAAAAAAATCCATGTACAAGAGGAGTCTAAACAAAGATACCCAAGATTGTGTTGCAGCTTTCAAATTCAGAGTGTTAGAACAGAAGAGATCTTGGTTTAGTTTTTGTGCAAGGTTTTGTTTTGTAATTTCTGCACAGTTTGGCCTGGGAAAAAAACCTAAACAAATAAAAAACTGTTGACCCACTCACTAGTGATGACTAGAATGTTTTCCATGGCAAGTGTGTGGAGAAGTAGGGCTGTGTTTCAACTCTAGTTAAAATAATTGTTTGCCCAGTAAGAGCTAAAAACAGAACTACTGGGAACTGAATGTAAAGCATTGCAGAGTTATGGTTGGGATTTGCAAGCTCTTTTAGCGCTGCAGAAGGAGTGCAAAATAAAAAACATGCTAGTTGGAATGATTGCTATTCAGAAGTGCTTTTAGCACAGCAAAGCAATCAAGAAATCATTGATAACACACTTCAGCAGCAGAGATGAGAACTGGGCTTACTGGCAAGGGAAGCCATACCTCCGAAAAGATACAACAGAGGGGAAAAGGAAACAGCAAAAAACTTCTTGCTTGTTCTTGAGAGTTGAGAAGATAAAATCAACTGCTGTAACTGAACAACTTAAAATTAACCAGCCACCACAACCATGTAATGGCATAAAAAAATGAGAATCTGGAGTTATACCAAGGCTGAACGTTCTGCCAGCCTTCTCTTTTCGGTAGTTGCTAAACGTTTCTTAGGGTGAAGCTGTGCTTTGAACAAGCGTTTTTGTTTCTGGATTTCATGGGTGAATGTTTTACTCTATATAACTGTTGAACTACTTGAAGATTCTGCTGCATTGTAAAAAAGAGGAGAATCAATGCTCTTTGTAGTGATCAGTTAGGAGTCTGATAACATTGAATAAGCAGTTTTTTGGAAGAACTACTTACAAGTTTCCTGTCCTCCAGAAGATCCTCTTAGGTATTTTATTTTAGTAATAGAAGACGTTGGGGCTTTTGAAAAAGAAGGGCAAGAAGATTGAATCATCTCAAATAAGAAACCAGAAAAAAATCTTTGAGGGATTTCTGCTGTAAGAGCATGGCAATGTGGTGCTGAGAGGGTGTTTGCCAGCCAACTGGCCAGAGGGCAAGAAATGCAGAAAAAATGGGAAGACTGGATGTGAAGAATGTATGAAAGAGCCAAGTGTCTGTCTGGATTGCACGGGAGGTAATTAGTGCAGTTTTAGCTGTCGCTCTGCTGCCACTGCAAATGAAGCTGAGCTCTACTGGATCAACCAGTAGAATGAATTTGATAGGGATCAGATGTAGGTATGTGGTTGTATCTGTCAGATCAGATAGAACACATTACCCAGTTTATTCTGGCTTTATGCTGACTATGGAAGGACAGATGAAACCTGACCTGGAGTTAAAACCTGTTGGCATAAAGTTAACCCATTGTAACTTTGAACAAGTTTAATTGGTCAGAGCAAGGGGTGGTGGTGGTGTACTGGACCAGGGATTTTCTTCAGCATATTCTGTATCTGGCATTAGGGATCCCAGAGGCTTGCAATGACACCTCCTGAGTGTCAGATGTAAGTTTACCTTGTTTCACTTAAACAATTGTTTCAGGATTTCATGGTCAATGGGTGTTTGCTTTGGTTAATATCCTGAGGGAGCTTGTCCAAAGTTTTGTTTAGTAAGAATTAAGAAATCCTACCTGAAACGTATTTTTTTTTTGCTTATGTTTCTGAAAGGGTGCTGGCACAGCTATATACAGAAAAACACAACTGTAACGAGCTCTACCCGTAATAATTGCTTGACTTACTCATCAGTCCTCCTTAGAGTCTTAAACCATTCCTGTCTCGAGAATCTAGCTAAGACAAGATTGGTGTGGGAGCCGCCCCAAAAAGCTTGCCAGGTGCCGGTTTCCCGGATCAGGGAGGGGGCTGGCTGACACAGGATTCAGCTAGTGGCTCTCACAGCACTTGCAGATCAAAGCTGCCCTCTGTTTCTCAAGCTAGGTGGCTGTCTCACCGTGGTTGCAGGTGTAATGCACTGTCAGTATTAACTGCTATTTAGTGAGTAATTCTTGACTCTACCTTCGTTTTCTGCGTGAATCCAAAATTATAGCTGTCTGTGGAATGCGTTGTTCCCATGGTCTGGAATTGCTCATTCAGTCTTGATAGCCTGGATAGCAGAAGCAAGAGGCAGAGGGAAGGGAATATTGCATATAACGCTGGGAGCAGATATAGAGGAAGCAGACTAAAAATCCCCTGATAGCAGCAGCTATTTAAGATCCAACAAAACCTACCACTGTTGCAAACTTAGGCCAGATAGGGGAGAGAAACAAAGCTGCATGTTTTAGCATGTTGAAGGCACTAAAATTCAGGGTTGCTTGTAACACTGATGGTCATTTACCACTTTGGTGTGGCATCAGGGAACAACAGAGTGCAATTTGAATTACCCAGGCTGTTCCTTGGGAGATTTTGAAAAAAGGTTACTGCTCAAGAAGAGTTCTGTTGGGGACTTTACCAAGGGAAAATCATCCCTGACGA